TTGGGTGGGCAGAGTTCACTTATTATAACAAATCTTGTTTTTTGTATCAATTTTATTTGAAATAACATTTTTGTGGTTATGACAGAGGAAATTAATCAAATAAACTTTATTTTAATAAGTTTATGCTATAAATCAGGGCTGTCCAGAACTTATGTGATAGCCGGCCAATACCAATTATTGTATAGATTGGAGGGCCGCAGAAACAAATACACACGTTTATAGTTGTTAGCATAAATACATTATAAATTTGGTTATAATGTTAAACTTAGTTTTATTAATTTATTAATTAAAATACATTTCTAAGGTATACCAGAAAAATGAAATAATTTGGTATAACCAGTACACCAAAAGAAAATTTCCGTAAATGTAGTAGATTAAAAACATGTCGTAGGCCGTACTTTGGACAGCCCTGTTGTGAATAACTAAAATATGACAGCCCTGTTAATAGCAAAAAGGAAGAACCACACAGTCACATAATGACACACTTTCATTTTTGATAGTGACCCAATATTTCATATGTATAGGTTTTGTAATTATTTATACATAATTTGTAAAAGTTCTTCAATAATTGAAGGTATTTTTTGCTCTCAGGTATCGTTTCTATAAAAGACTGCAGCACATGGGTGAACACATGAAAAGCTAATATTTGAGCAATTAGGGGAATCTTTTTCTTCCACATCGAAAACATTCTACTCGAAGCAAGTTCTAGAACTGCATCTTAAAGTACATATGACATGAATAATAGGTGTTTGCAATGTGGTAATCTATTATCAACTAACCGCAATCGCTTTCGCTTCACTGTACTTTCACTGTTGTGCTGGCGATATTTCCCAGCATTTGAACGAATAGAAACAGAGTTATCGTGATCACAAAAGGATTGTGTACGTATTCTGCATCTTATATTTACCGAGTAATAAATATCAAATATATTTTTTTACTTATTCGTAAATAAAAACTATAGAACATTTTCGAAACTTATTCCTAACATCAATCCAAAAAAGGAAGTAAAGAAACCGTCTGAAAGTCAAAGTCATCAGATTGTCAAACTGATTTCATTGCGATATCCAGTAAGTCTATGTCCATAAGAATACTCAAATAAGTCTACGGCAAAAAACCACAAAAAGACAGTAAAAAAGTGTAAAATAGAAGTGACAATGACAACAATAACTCCAGAAGCACCATTCAGGCAAAAACACAAAATAAAAAAAAAAAACTTTAAACAAACAGAAATAAAAATTTCTTTGGCTTCGTTGAAGCTTAAATACCCTTCGCACTGACTTAATGAGAATTTTCCAACGAAAATTTTTGAAATCAAATACGATAGACTTTGTATTAGAAAATTTGTTGGTATCGGACCTAGGGGAAAAATTTTCAAAAGAAACAAATGGCCCGTACCATTTGAATGCCCGATGCATGCACGACTCAAATTGAGTCATATATGCCTACGGACTAAAAAGTCTCCTCATTTTCAGCTCAAACTCCTGAAAAATCCCTGCAGTACGACCAGTTAAGGTATTCCTTCACAGGGCAGGTTAGAAGAGCACTTAACGTGCTTTCACTCCGATTGTGTACTAAGTATTTCGTCCGCTCTAACAGTATTTATTGTTCTAAAGATTATGCTCTTGTAAAAGCTCCATTCTATTTATTTATCTTAACCTGACAAATAAAAACTGTGTATCTCAATGTATACAAATAGGTACAGCGGGTATATTGAACCCTAAATTAATTTGAATATAATCTATAAGTCAACACATCGAATTGCATATAACCAGTTTTAAGACTAAGTCTTAATTTTAAGTTTTCACATCAAGCAAACAAGGAATTATTGTATATAGTTTTTTATGTCTGCTGAACATCATAGCAAGTACCTTGACAAATTTAATAGACTCTCTCCGCAGTATGTGTACTGCAGGACGCAAACAGGTACTTGTTCAGGAGATAAAAAAATATTCTAGATTTCTGTAAAAGGCAAATGTGTTGCGCGTGGAGTACTCTGCCTGATTTACGAGTGAAGTGTGGTTTCCAGCTATTGTTGTTAGCACGTTTGTGGCTGGAGCGCAAATATTTTTTTTTTGTTGGCTGAGGCAGGAAGGACATTTCCTTCCTACAGTTCGATGGCATATACAACACACACAAATTACCACAATTTATGAATGGCAAAATGCTAACAGATTGACTTGAGTTCTATTGACTAAGGACATTTATCTGGCAGCATAGATGGTGCCTGCCGACGACTACTACTGAAGCTAAGAGAGTGTAATTAAGCGTCGTTATTTGTATTGACGTTTTGTTGAAATACAATTGATTTTACTTAAAGGGACTATATCGCATTAAATTAATAGTTTTGAGTTGTTGAATATAATACTTTTAAATTGAAAATAATTTCTTCGAATTTCATAAACATTTTCATACTTTGCCACATAAACTTTAGTTGTTGTTGTTTAGAAGAATGCGTTAAGTTTATAAAACAAAAAAAAATTATATGGTAAAGTGGTTTATAATATAAAATATCTTGAGAAAAGTTTCATCTTATATGTCATTGCCAAAAAATTTTAAGTGTACTTTCTTAATAGAGTCGCCAGAAAAGAAAGAAAACTTGCTCGCAAACGCATAACGCTAAGACAGTTCAACTTTTTAGCTTTTTTCTCCGAATATTGAGCTTCATTTTTCATTTTTGTGTTGTAACCATTTTGTTGCACATATTTTTCATAACATTAGCAGACTTTTCACCCGATTTCATTTAACTTTCTTGAACGTTGTCAAACAGCGTACACTCTTTATGTAAAAAGTCGTAAAAATAGTACTCCCAATTCCAAGTTCATTCGGGATTTCAATACAACTGCTAATGTTAATGCTGATGTTTATCCTGATGTTCATCCTGAAGCTTATGTTGATGTTTATGCAGTTTCTGTTGCAGCAAAAGTGTTATTTTCCTTGCTTCAACACAAAAATTTAAAAAAAAAAACGAAAAACGAGTAATGCACCTAAAATTATGCTTCTAAAAATTCTTATCTTTAGTTATTCGTGGATCTGCGTGTTACCATTCAAGGTATACAATGATGTTCACGTTTTATTCTTGTTGTACTGTTAAGCATTGTTGTTATTTTCACAGCTTGTTTACACGTACATATTTGTATCTGTATCTTGTATTTGATACTTCGCCGTCGAAAATTCATTAAAAATTCTCGTCATGCTTTTGATTCAATTAGTTCTTTAGGGCATTTTGTTGCATCGTTAAGTTTATTACCATAACATTGGCATGTGAAAAACTCACTACAGCCCCACTTGAAAGTATGTCTTTCGGTTTTTGCTGCCAGGGACTCTTAATTAAATTCTTAAAGAAGGAGTAATTGAGTAGAATATTTGGTTGTATAGATACAATCAAAAATTCAGTTTTTCCGAAAACTATTTTCCAACTTATGTTCACATTTATTTCACATATAAATTTTGTCATTTTAAATTAAATAAACTATTTTTTTAACATGCAATTTAAAATTTTTTTAGCTATAAATAATATCTTATTAAGTGAAGTATATTAAACGTATGATTCTTTCAGTGTAACCACCTTGCTAGATTTTACTTGTGGTTGCCACCACAATTTTATTAATCTGAACAATTTCATATGCATTATATATCACATTTTTTAACACATATTTTGCATTTTCTATGCTGAATTAATTAATTCCTGTTAACAATACAAAACTAAATATCATCTGTTTACAATTGAAATAAAAATAGGAAAAAGCTCTCCTAGAACTTTTTCATAACGTATTAACACATGCATAAATTAGCTCATTCCAATAGAAACGACCAAATCTTAATCGCGTTAATCTGAGTAGTTTAAATGTACGTTTTCACTGCCTTTGTTAGACCAGTTTATTTAGTTAAGGTCACTGATAAATTTTGATTAACCATACAAATAGTTTTCGTGTTTTTTATCTTTGTTAAGAATTAATGAGATATAAAAAAGAACTAAATATGTTGAATGCAACATTGTAAAATATATTTTCCAAAAGGGAAATGTGCTAGACAGCGTTGTTGAAGAATTTTATTTAATTTATTTTTTTTTCATCTAATATTTTCAAATTTTTTAAGTAATATCACATTACTTACTTAAAAATATTATCGGTTTTTATAATCTCTAAGCCTCGGTAAGATCTTAGTTTGCAAAAAAAATTCGAATATAATAAGTAATTCCATTCGAATATAAAAATATTGCCAATATCTTGTCAAAATCTGCCAATGTAGACGCCCATTAAACGCGATTGAAAACATTTTCAGTTGCCATAGGCAACCTGTCGGTATTGTAAATAGTTCTATAGAAAATAACTGAATCAAAGTGGAAGAACACATTTTACGTTTGGACCTGGTATGTGGCACTGTTACAGAAGTATTATTAAAATTGTTACAAACACCACGTTATCGAATCTCATAATGGTTACAGGCTTCTCGGGGAGGTATGCATATCTGAGATCAGTTATTACTTAGTCTGATGAAGTGATAAACAATAATCCAGTCAAAGCCTATAGAGAGGTTATGAAAAAACTTCGCAGGTAATAGAGATAACCATAATAATATGGTAACCTAAATGTATACAAAAACATTCCAAGCGGATAATACTCTAACCTGACGATATAGTCAACAGACATCAAGACAACATCAAAAAAAAACATATTGAATTGAAGTCAGTGAAGGTCAAAATAATTACGATGGATGTTGCAGTTTTAAAGTTCTTTAACACTTGACCGAGAGGATAAAACTTTATATGCTTGACTGAAATCTGATGTCAAAAAAAAACCTAAATGCAACCATGCGTATAATTTTCCAATATGTATTTTATGTTCTTTTTCCACGACTGTCCCTTGAGTGGAGTGTTAATCATTGCGGTAATGTATTTTAGCTATTTAGAAATAAATTAATACTCAGTAAACCTTGAATGTCAAATTCTGACTGAGAAATTTAACTGAAAATTTGACTGAGAAGTTGAAATATTCTAATGTTTTCAACATTGAGTTTATTAGTAGTATGTTTAGTTCAATGCAAAATTCAGGTTCTTTCGCAGAAGCAGTTCCTGGTTACAACAATGAGATAAATGTATATTGTATATTATTATTTTTATTTAAGCAAATCGATTAATTATATTGTTTTACTTTCTAGCGACGTCCTTCAGCTGGAGTAACGAATCAAATTACCGAAATAATTTATAGATTTTACCATCTCCTTACTAATAACTGCAAGGTATATATCAATTTTAATATTTTTAAAATTAAACACTAATTTTGATTTTACAGGATATCGCTTTGTTGTGTGAACCAGATGTACGCCTCTATTGCCAAGGTCAGAGGAATCACGGGCTGAAAAACGTATTAATGTTTTGTGAAAAGTTTTTTAATCTTGTCTATACAATTTCGCAAATTGATGTAATGGACCTAGCAGTAAACACCCCATACAATCAAATCGGATTCAAAGTAGTTGTGTTTGGATGTTTTGAATCTAAGGACAATATAAAACATTTTAAACATGAGTTTAAGATCGTTGACATAGATTCCAATTATAAGATAACTAAATGTAACTTTATATATAATAATGAAGCCAATTATTAATTTTAAATATGTAATCAAACAATTACATTATTAAATAGTTCCTTTGGAAACTAAGAACAATTCAATAAAATCTTGAAGCCACCATATTTTATTTTATTTTCTGTACCGCTGTAGTAGAAAATATTACATCATCGCAAATTATTTACAAGGTAATAAGTAATTTTTAAATGTATTCCGACAAAAAGACATACCTTGTGATCAAAAAAGAACTTTAATTTTTAACTTTTGAATTCTCGCGCTTATCCAACCGGCAAATTTTTTTATTTTCATGCTGGCAACACTATTATACACATTCTGTCAAAGTTTAACGCATATCGTACGATTACTTTTTGTTTGGCGTCTATACAAAGAAGTCGAAAAATTTTCGTGTCACACGGGGTCATATCTGGAGCGTACGGTGCTTGATTGATGATATTAGTGGAGTTTTTGGCCAAAAACTGCGGCTTTTTTGAATGAAATTCAGCTTTTTTGCCACCAGCCGAGAAGTGACGCATTTCAAACCCAAAACATCACTTAAAATGAGTTTGGCCGATCCATATGAGATGCCCAAAAACACTGCAATCTCTCTAATCGGTTTACAACGATTTTCCAACACGATCTGCTTCGCCGATTCAATTTTTTTTTTTGTAACAGAAGTTGTTGAACGGCCAGGGATCTCATTATGGTCCAAGCTTGCATGACCGTCTTTGAACCTTTTAAACCATTCGTATAGTTGTGGTTGCTGCGACACTCAAAACTCACCAAATGCCTTTTTGAACATTTTTGAACAGTTTCGGCACACTTGAATCCATTTGCAAAAGTTTGATGCACGCACGTTGCTCTAATTTTTGATCCATTATTGACAGAATATGTATAGTAGTGTTGCCAGCGTTAAAATAAAAAAATTTACCGATTGGATAAGCGCGGAAATTCAAAAATAGCCCTCTCGTCCTTATTTGATCAGAAGATTTTGACTCATTATAATATTGAGAACAATTATTGTAATATACACAAACGTTAACAATATTAATATTAACAAATAGTTGAAGAGAGAAAATAACTATCATGTACTTTCTGATCTAATTGAAATGATTCTTTGTAATTGAGTTTATAAGTCTCTTTTTAATCTCTGAGAATAGTGTCTTACAAAGACCGGATTTTGAAGGACCAATGGCCTGATCCTTGATCATATTGACTCTTACGTCCTACATACTAGGACGCGCTACAGATACTTCATAACATTTATGATTACAGTGTTTGGTCTTTGTCTACAATTGCATTGGAAGTAGTGCCCCATAGTTGCATAACATACGTCTAGCATGGTTTTATTATTGTATGAAATAGAAGCATTTTATGCTTGTGGAACGAAAAGAGAATTGCAAAATTTATTTAATACTTTTACCAACTCTCTCTTTGTTCTTCAGTGAAAAAAGTATAACTTCTAATACGCTACCTTGCCGAACAGCAGCAAGAATGGGATAATTTTCAGGGGCTAAATTTCTTTGACACAAACAAAAGGCCCTGCCAAGAAGGAAGCTTTACAAAATACCTTTTAATTAAACCTGTTCAAATGCATGTGTGACATGTAGGAAAATTACATATCCAATTACAATTGGATCTTTCTAGATCATAATTGATGTTGTGGTATAACTAGTTTTGGGTCCAAGACAGGTTGAGTTTTGTTAAATAAGTTTTACTCGGAAATTTTTAAAAATATTGACAAGACTGATCGTCCTGTGCGAGGTGAATTTTAATGTGCTTTTACCTGATTTCGGAATTATAATAACTTTAGAAAGTTTCCATGATCTTGGATGATAAATTAGGCGAAACAGTTTATTAAATATGAACAAAAGGAGAACCACTGCAAAGTGAGAAAGTTCTTTAATAATTACGCCGGTAATTTAAGTATGATTAAGACCTTTGTTTCTTTGAATTTCTGATCTGTTTATTTGACTAAGTCGCATTATTTTGAATCTTATCGTTGAATATCTTGAATTTACATATAGGAGTGATGTAGTGTTATTGAACTCCTCATTTGCTTTTAAAACTTTATATAGATAAATTGCTAAAACTGACGGTTTGTCCGCATCAGTACGAGCATCGAAGAATGATTTTTTTGGTTTCAAACCTATGAAGCTGAGTTTCAAAGCACAATACCCTTTAGTACCTCTGCATATAAACCATTTGGTATTTGTGCAGATGTATTTCTAATGAGATTCAAAGTTTCTTTAAGTATTGACTATTTAACTATTTAACTATTGATTAACAGTCACTGTGATTTATTTTACTTTTTATTTTGATGTTGTAAATACCAGACAGCGCTAGTAGTTTTAAACGTCTTTCGTCTAAACGATTTGAGGGGTCATTGGCCCTAATGATCTTATTTGCTGATTTGTTTCCATCCGTTTCTAATGAATGCATGGATATACGTCTGGATATCACATGGATATAACTGCCGATTCCAGTTTGAATCATTGCTTTCTTTACGCTAGAGTTGGTTTCTTTATTTATTAAAGGACTATTTGTTTCTTTTTGTTTGAAGTAGAATGTGCCAATATAGTGAAATAATCTTTTTTTTCACTCTCACATGATAATACTACTACTGGCATTCATTTTACTTTTAGATCTTTTTTGTCAATATGATAATTTTTTATTAACATTTTAGGCGTTCTTTTGCTTATGTATTTTATTTGTTTATTTAGCAGAAATTTATTATTAAAATACAATTGATATTTGCGATCGACCGGGTCTTATTAGAATGTTGAGTTTTCAATACCAAACAATAATCTTTCTTATGAAACCAATATAATATCTTCAAATTACATTCCACATAGGCAACGCAATGCAAGTCATTATATATTCTTATTTTCTTAATCTAAACAAGATATTTTAAAAACAAATTTGGTAGAGGTTTCAAAAAGTAAAGAACTAGAAAAACAAAAATTATTTTTATATTATTTTAATTAATTAAATTTTTGGCTGACCATACAACTGTTTCGAGTATTGCCAAATACCCATTATCAGTGGTTTTGGAATTATTTCTTCTCTTTAATTATTTGCATTTACTACTTTTCGAAACATCTCTACTTAATATATTAGTTTCTAACCTTATTCAATCATTCTATCCATCATAACTGACGTTAAATTACACCTTATATTAAAAAATAATTTAGAAATCACCCTTTAACCCATTAAGTACCACGCAAGTTCACACATGGAATTTTATGGTGAAATTTTCAGAAAAGTCTTATTTTACGTTAAATAAATTCCCTGCAAAATTAAATTTTTTTTTTGAAAAGCAGTTTTCCGGAAAAGTGCCGTGCTGGGACCCATAGCACATTTTTTTCTCTTCGATAGTACAAACATTTTTATATGTGTTTTGTTCGCAAATATGGAATTTACCATAATTACTTTTATGGTGAAGTAAGTATCATTGTAAGTTGTATAAAGTACACGTTTAGTATAAAAGTCAATGTTTTACGTTTTTCAAATATTCATGAATCAAAAAATATATTTAAATTATTTCGTATGTATTGTATAATGTGAAAAGGAATAAGTAGTTGTCTACGTTCAATGTAATATTCTTTATTTTCATGGAAAATTAAAAAGCAATTTTCTACATGAACATGCATATTGCACTTTTCACATGTAAAACCTGTGACTTTTGGTAAACAAACAATAGAGAGGTGGAGATTTTGAGTTTGCATACCGGTTACACGTGGTAAATTTCCCGGAAGATAAACATCTTCTACTACGCTGTGACTTTCTTTTTTCAAATCATTGTACACGGTAGCAAGAAGAAGGTTTCTAGGAATGAAACTCTTAAAGTCTAACTGAGGCATCGGTTTTGTGTTAGTAGAAGCAGCGACAAAGCAATTTAGTTTCCAAGCGTTTACTACAGCACTATCTAAACACTGTACCCATAATGGCCACCAACCTTTTTTGCTTCTATTCCCGATACGATAGTTAGCAACTCTATTGTCATGTAAGTCCATGTGTCAGTAGTAGCTGTTGATAACTTGAGGCTGTGGGACACCAATCTTTATTTTCTATCTGCTATAAAGTTGCACATTTACTATGGGTTCAACGGAATCATACAGTATGTTGCAATGGATACTCACAATGGCTCAATAATTCCTTTACAACAAATGCACCGATTCCCAATTGTTTCTTGTATTTGTCAGTTGCACTATCCAAAGAAAGGGTTCATAGCTTATAACCGAAACGTATTGGTTTTACAAGTTCCAATGTGAATAGTTGCGACTCAGGAATTTTTACAAACCACCATAATCTTGTGCATTTGATTCGTATACAACTTCAATAGTACCTAAATACCATCTCACAATTAGACACGCGGAATTCAAAAGAGGAGAACAAAATTTTAAAGTTGTATGTAATGTTTGTTGATATTTTATGATCGTCAATAATTTCATTGTCCGATTCATCGGCAACATTATCAGGTGGCAAACAATTATTATTCAATAAGTAGCGGAGCGTCACTTGGCACTAATAAGTCATCTTCGCTGCAATTGTCAATAATATGCAATAGTTCCTGATTTCTTAGATATCTTAGGCACGACATTATAATTTATTTACAGTAAAAAATTAAAGACAGAACTTTTAGCAAGAACAAATGTGAGTCCTATATAAAACAATCAAATTCCGACTAACTTAACCAGCAATTAAATATCAAAATAGACTTATTACTATTATGCATAGTAAAAAACACATGTTTAAGTAGATCAGAAGAGTATGATATTTATTAGAGAGATTACTCTCATTTTATTTCATTACCTAACGACAGACATTTATATGGCATTTCATCATTATATTGTTATGGGACCCAGCGTGTGGTTCAGCACACGCCTTTTTTCGCCGGGGTCTGGTGGCACGCAACTGTTACTAAGGCGCAGGCAAAAATTATGAAAATTATATTTGAACTTTTGTGAACACTTTATAACAAATATATTAGTTTTTATTTCTGTTTATTTTAATTTTCATTTAATTAAAAAAAGCATTTTTCTGACACTTTTTATTTCGGACCAGGTAAAGTCATGAACAGATGAAAACTGTTCGAGATATGAATTTT